CAAAAAAATGCTCTCGTGACACATTTGGGTCATTCGGCAACAAACACAAATACAACCTCCCAAGTGCGTGTATCTGTTTTGTGTGACCTTTGAGGGCATTAAGTTCAAAAGTCGACCAAGTTTCCTCTGCGGCCTGGAGCCCTGAGCATTTAACATATGTATGTATGTATGAACGACCGTAGCCATTCATTTGCATTCTCCAACACTCGCTATGTGTGTATCTATGATTGCTGGATATCCGCTTCAGGCCCCTGTTTTGGGTGTTCTATCCCGCCGTGTGGGTTCTCCATACGTGCTCATTGCGCTCAACGTGACAAACGAAACTTCAATTCCAAAGAATGCCCCCATGCTCCATGCCCCATGCCGCAACTCCCCAACCGCCGGCCGATAAAGGCGCAAGAATCACAGCTACAACGGCAACGGCAAACGACGATGGCAAGCATTTCATTTATATTGTTTGATATAAAAGTCTTTTGATTGATTTTACTCGCTTATCTGCTTTGTGAAGCGATTTCCATGAGAACAGCAGCCCCCCAAACAGCACAAAGAAATAGCTATAGACCTAGACGGGGCATAGGTTGAGGTAACTGGAGAAGAGACTGGGGTCAGCTGGGTTGAAAGGTAGTGCTGGCTCTTTAGCTTTTTTTCTATCACTTCCTAGAGTCTTTAGATAAACGTTTGTATGTTTTAAGCTTAATAAAGACTTATATTCTCATCAATAATTATTTTTTATTAAATTAAACCAACAACTGACAGTCCCTAGCCACCCATAACCTTGTCTGATGGAAGACCATTTTAGCTCCCCAATTTGCATGACTCGTTGGCCTCAAAAATCGATGAGGGGCCACGCTTAAAGAGTTACTCCTATTACAGGCTGAGATTCAATAAATTAACGTTTCTTGGAACCCGATGGTTCCGCTTAATGAGTCAGCCGTGGGTGGAGTCGTTTTAGATCCGGTGCTAATGAAGCCATTCAACGGATGGAAGTTCAAGAAAAAGCTGACTGCATAACTCTCGGTCTTAGCGACCCTAAAAGCTGTGATTATGAGCCCGAGAACAAGATTTGTCATACGATAAATTAGACTGCTCACAGTGCTGTCTTTTGTTTCCAAATTCCCGGACCCGCATGAGAGCGGTTGTTATTCAAATTTCGTTACCGCACCAGTCACGCTATTGCCCCATTTCGCAGAAGGCGAACAGCGCTGTCCGGCAGCGCCTCAAATCACACATTCTACCGTAATCACTGGCAACCCCACCTACCTAGATATGGAGGTAGTTACTCCACGTTCTGGGCAGAGACTAGCCTTATCTCCCGATATTATACAATACACATCGACGACAACTGATATCTTTCAGACTGTCGTGTAGTTGTTTGGTTGTTTATGTGGATTTTCCATGAGCTGCCAACAACTGCGATAGCCAAGTTAAAAGACGGAGGGTAAACAAACTCGAAGAATTGGTAAAAGTTACGAGCAGTGGGCCGCAACAAATTTTGCGATGAATTCTTTTTTAATCAAACATTTAAAACTTTTTAATAAGTGCACGACTCCGAAATAAAATAGAATAACGCTGGGAAACTTTGGCCAGCGGGGGGTGCCGTTCCTAAGTGCTTCAGAAACCAAAAACCCACCTTCTTCAGGTGCCTGTGGCTGGCACAACTTAGTCACACTGAGAAAATAACTTCAGAGCTATATATAGTAGAGAAATGCATCATCTGACCTTTCTGGAAAGCTGCTTGAACATTTTCTCCTCTGCATGACACCCGAGAAAAACTTATTTTCGCCGTGCTTTTCGCCTTAAAGACCACAAACTTTCATTTTGCCATATTTTTTATTTTCCGGGCTCCGGCTCTGAAAGAGAAAAACCCCAAAAAAAATGTGAGGCGCATACATACGTCACTGGAGCTTTGTGGGAGAGGTGGGCCGGGTTGGTGGCCGGAAAAAGGGGTTTACGGGTTTGTTTTGCTAAACGAACCGCGATAGAAACAACGGCCAAAAAACAACCGTTGAAATATTAATGGTCAACATGAACTTCGGCTTCAATTTTCAAGAGGGGGCCTTGCCCGGGCGACCAGTGGGTGGGGGGGTTGTTCGGAAAATTGCGTGCTGCGCCAAGTTCCAGCTGTCAACTGCAGCTATGCAGTAAACACACCGCAAGCAGAGCTGCAGCTTCTCATATTGGGAAAAGAAATGCCAGCGCTGGGATAGTTTTGTGGGTGGAGGCGAGGAAGGGGCTATGGGGGGATTTTCCAAGTAACAGATGAAACCTTTTCCTTTTCAGACGCCGACAACTTTGACTTTCCTGCGGTGTGAATAAACCTTGGCTTTTTGAAAAGCCAAGACAACGCAAAAATGTTGCAATAGTTCAAGTTTTTCATGTCGTTGCATATTTCTCCCTACCCCCTCCCCTACATCACCCACCGCCCCCCTCGACGACAACAAAGTAAGAGGCTGCCTTTGTGTATTCCCAGTGTGTGTGTGTGTGTATGCGTGTTTGTGGTAAAGTGCATGAGTCTGTGTGAGCTTACCTGTTCATTGTGTGGGGAATGTATTTAAAATTGCAGCACAAACCACTTTCATGAAAAACGTCGACTGTGAATAAGACAACAACAAAAACACAAAAAACAACAACAAAGATCAGTCGAGTTGCAAAAAAGCTTTTACAGTTGCAGGGCCTCTCGGTGCGGTGGTTGTGTGCGAGTTGGAGTCCAAGTGCGAGCGAGAGGGTCACTTGTAATTATGTTGCAGTGGCAAGCAGGCGGCTGCAAGAAGAAGAAGCGGTTTCGACCAGGAGACAGTTTGATAGACACGTGAGTAAATTGGCCGCTCTCCTGCCGTTCGCCCTCTCGCTTCCTCTCCTCGAAAGTCTCCAAAAGCAAAAGTTCACTTTCGCTGAACTCTTCTTTGCAATTGTCTTTTCCGCTTTCTGCGCTGGTGTGTATGTGTGTGTGTAATGCACGTAAGTATGTATGGGTTTGTTGTTTGGGGAGACACACGAATAACAACGAGAGTTGGACATGCAATCCAATTACCGTTAGAGCCAAAATGTCTCCCAGCAAATTGCAGTTTTTAGTGGCACGTAATATTTAATTAAGATTGCAAATATACACACACACGAATTTCTCTTTGGCCCGCAGCAGTTTGGCTTTATATGAGTTTTTGTTGTAATACTGATTTACGTTTCTTTTTTTTTATAAACGAAAGCGACGCCTTTAGTTTTTTGACACTTCTTAAGCAGCAACAGCTCGCACGCACACACAGATACACTCCCGCTCGCACCGCCAGCCAGTTTCGGCTGGCTCTCCCGCTACGGCGGCGCAGGTAGCACAGGTAAGACTCTCTCCTTCTCGCACACCAACACAGCGGCGACGCAAACAGGTAGAAGGCACTCACACACACGTCGACGTCGCAGCAACTGAAGCAGAAACAACTCCGGAGAGACGCGTTTTTTTTTCGTTTCCACACAATTTTCACAAATTCACAAATAATCCGATCTTATTCAGCACTTAGAGGCAAATATCTTCACTTTGTGTGATGTGATGGGTTTGTTATGCGCCAATTAGAGTGCTACGCCAGCGCTTTTCAAACGGAAAACGTATACTTGATATTCGCGACGCCGCAGCCGCAAACGCGAGCGATCTGCTCAGAAGACGATCGTTGAATGAGCGAGAAGGAGAGCGAAGTTGCAGTGATCGTGGGGAGACGTTGACGTTGCTGCCGGCGTCGGCGTTGGCGTCGGCGTTGGCGTTGGCGTTCGCGCTGGCGTCAGCGTTGGCGTTGGTCATTAATGGGCAGCGCTTCGCAGTTAGTTAGTTACTTGTGCTGACCATTTTTAGCACTACAAGCCATTTTAACGGGATTTATTTAAAAAAGCCGCCAAAAGTAACTAAATTATTATTTAAGTTTTTAAACATTTAAAATTTTATATTAAAGCTAATTTTAAATTTTTTAAAGTTAAATATAAAATAATATCTATCTAAATAGGCAGCACTACTAAAAACTATGATAAAAGATGAAAGGGAAAGAAGATCGCCATTTTCTTCTATCCAAGCTCAGTCTTATCACAGTGACGTATAGACTGCTTTGTGTATGTGTGGGTGTATTATTAATGCTCTATCATTATCATACTTCTCCGGATGTTCGGATATTATTACAGAAAAATTAACTTTTTTAGTGCTTAATATAATCAGCTCTGTTCACTCGATTTTTAGTTTATCGTAGAGCGCTTTTGCCTTTCTTGTTCCAGCATTTCCGCTCTGATAGATTTTGAAGTGCAAGTTCGGTTGAAAGTTTGATCATGAGCTGCTGAAAGTTTGTGGCAAGGAAACCACTTCTGGATTCTACCCGAGTAACTATGTTTTCAACCAATTGAACCACACGATGGTGCTTCTGAGGCACAACTTTTAAGCCCCCCAACTAGTTGAGAACTTTAAAGTCAGCTTTCGTCCGTGTGGCGACTAAAAGTGTATCCTCTTTAATAGACGCTTTTACAGCTGGTCTGTTTTATTTAATAAACTTTTGTCCCTGATTTACAGATTGCTCTGCTCCTGCTCCAATCCCCCGGATTTTGAGATGCGGGCCCAAAGCTCTCGGGCCAAGTGGCAATCGATTTAATGCCGCGCCTGCTCGGCTTTCCATCCGGAAAACTCAAGTGCGCATTTGAATTTCAATCAGTCGACTGCAGCGAAATAAATAAGCCATCGAAGAGGTCCTTCCGCCCACTTCCTTTGGCCTATTGGCTTTGGAAGCTTCCTAATAAAATGGTGATGGAATAAGGATGTTCTATATATATCCGCAGGAAAAGGGGTTAAAGTGACTTAAATTTGTAAAATTTTATATTATAGAAGAAGTTACCCTGAAAAGTTAAATATACTATACGATATGTATAGCCAAAGTTACTATATATTTCTCTGTGTGTAGCCACAGACTATCAATATGGCACGCATCGACGCTAAAACTAAGTAGAAATTGCGGATTCCGAATCCGATTTGCCGCACTCACCGTTTATGATTCTGGTCAGCTTGGAGCGCCTGGTGGACGAGGGGCTCAGCATGCTCTCGCGCCTGCTGCCGCTGCCCCCGCTTCCCCCGTTGCCACCTGCTGTGTGGTGTCCTGGGCCCGTTCCGCCACCGGACCCGGATCCGGCTGCCGAGTCACCGTAATTGACATTCAGCTGGGCCTGCACCTGCGAGCCAAAGGAACTGCCCGTGGAGGTGGAGTAGAGGCTGCTGGCCGAGGGTCGCTTGCTGAAGGGGGAGGGTCCACCTGCCGCCGAGGCACCTGGCGCCGTGACTGCCAGCGAGGAGCGGGGCAGGTCGCTAAACACAATCTCGGCAAAGGAGTCGATGCTGGCGGAACGCTGAAGAGCACTGCTGTCCTTGCGCCTGAAAGGGGACAAAAAGTTAGATACAAGACACAGAAACCAAAGTCATGAAACACGATGGGCAAGTCAATGGATTATGCAGAGGACTCTGTGGAGAGGGTTGGTATTATGTGGGGAATAGTGCAAACTTGTAGAGTATCGTAATTACTTTACGCTGTCGGACATTTTAATGAGCTGCCCACAGACCATTAAGTGTCGCCGCGGTCACTGGCCGGCCTAGTTGCCATAATGTGGCCGTTTTTTATGACCACGCCAGAGGAGAAAGCCGCTCTCCAGAGCAATACTATAGATAGAGTGGTTCTAAGACACAGCGGGAAATGGAAAATTATATTTACAAGATACTAAACTACTGCTACTGCAAACTATAAACTAAGAAGGCAATTTTTTTGCTTTGACTTGTGTTTTCTCTAAGTGTAACACCAGCTGGCGCTAATGTGGTTCTGTGGATAATGTTGACAAAGTCATGTATCTGGCCAAGAAGAGTATTTCTTCATTCAAGTCATACATTCTCCCGCTTCTAGCCTCTTTTTCCGCACTTTTCTTGCGTGAATGACTGGCACGCTTTTGCTTTTCCCGTTGGCTGTTGCTGTTGCCGTTGCCGTTGCCCATGACTGGCCAAGTTTATGGCCAGCAAATCGAGGTAAGTGATGGAGCTGATGGGTCAAAGTAAACTGCAATTTACGGGCCACTTGGCGGCCTAGTAATGGATTAATTTGCCATCTGCTTGAGAGCTGGCCGAGTGTCTAACTGGGAGGAGTAACAAAAAAAACACTGGGAGGCCATAACTTGCAGCTCATGATACCACAGTGAACTTTTCAGGAAAGTTTGTTGCGTTCGAGTTTGAGCTTCAGTTTGAGTTTTTCGCGGCGGTGCAGCATGTTTTTCTGTGTTTACAGCACCCTGAATTAATTTGCAAGCCGCACACACAAATTGAGTTGCCCCCTACCATGGCTTTTGCTCATTTACAGCATTTGCATAATCAGAGTCAAGTTGGGAAACTCGACCACATTAAGCACGCCGCAGCCTTGAACCAACTTTCTCTATGCAAACGTCACTCAACCAATTCGTCCTCCAATACAGGCTCACGCATTAATACCAGTGAGGGGGATGGCTGTTTTGTAGTGTGTCTGAACAACATGTCGTATGCGCAACATTTTCAATTAAAACCGCAAAAGCTGTCGGCAATCTCAACGCCCTCGTAAAGTTAATTTGAGCAAAAGAACCGAGGGGGGAAGAAGGAATAGCTGAAGCCTCATAGGATGCATTTGTACACTCGCTAATTCAGTTAATCCGAAACCATAATAATCCAAAGGCAGCTCTTCCGATCTGTGTGTCTTTTCCACCCACGAGACAATTAAGCGAGTTTGCAATTAAACACATTCATAATTTTCCAACAGCTAAATACACTTAATCAACGCAAATTCAATCAAATTACGACGCTTTTAAGCGGCAAACGTAGGGCTTCCCCCCGGTCCTTGAGGAACCCTTTGAAAATCATACTCGTGTTTCCCTAAGAATACTCGAAAAAATGCTCAGGTATGTTGTGTTTTAGAAAGTCCCAATAAAGTCTCAAAACTTCATTTTATCTTTTTAAAAATTCTTAAAAATCTTCGATTTTATTAAAGACTAAGTTTTTTGTTTTTATTTTTGTAAAGTTCGTTATTTTTTAGAGTGCTTTCTACCCCTTACCGAAGTTTATTGCAAAAGTTCTACTCGTCATCGTCGTTGATGGCTGATGTGGGAATGGGCGGTGGGGCGGACTTGATGGTCTTGGGGCGGGAATGTTTCTTGAAAGTGGAAGCATAAGAAACTCCCAAGCCACAGACACATTTCAGGCAAGGCGACAGGCGGCAAGCATAGACCCTAGTTGGCTCGACCTGGCCGACTGGCTGACTGGCTGTTGTGGCTTGTTGTCCTTGCCAGTTGTCAACCTCATTGTTGGCAGGCTGAAAATGCAGATGAGAACCGACAGGCTACATATGCCGGTGCGGTCCTGTCCTCTTAACCGCCCGATATTGCAGCCTGTTTGGCAACAAACCTCAGGTAACTGCTTTGGCTGTCGATGGTAATGATCATTATTATTAACTTAGGCCAAGCACTTTAACTAACAGCCAACTGGCGGCAATAAGTCAAGAGCTCTGCCAAATAAACTTGGCCCGCTGCTGGGCTTTCCATACAACTCAAAGCCACAAAAAATATATAAACAGCAGTGTCAGGTCTTCTGCCTGACAAGGTTGAATACATTCTGCAGGTGAAAGGTTTTCCCCACATGTCGGAGACACTTGGAAACGGAACTTTTAGAAAATTAAATAAAATATGTATTAAAATAGGTGATGGTTTGTTTTCGCTCTTTATGATATTAAGAATCTAGTCCTCGACCTTTAAGTCGGTAATTGCCAGGAGCTTTACAGAAAGTCTACTTTTCCCATCACCTATTTTTGTTTTAGTGTCAGCCTAGCTCTATCCTGAGTGTCTTTCTCTGCCTGGCTGGTCTGTCATTTTGGCACCTTATTTACACTTTCCCCAAACCTCTTCCCCCCAGCGAGATGGGAGATTTCCAGGCAATGTGCTAAGAACAGGTGACACACAATCCTTTAAGGGTGTGGCAGTTGTTTGAATATTTGGTGCGTTGTTCGGATAAGTGGCGTGAAATTCTATAGAAATTTTCATTCCGGACAGGACACCCGGAAGGCTGCTTAAAGCTCCTTCCAGAAAAGCTGTCAACCTAGAGCGGGTTATCCTCCTAATAGGAGCTGGCTGGCATTTGATTCGGATGTGGGTTGGCAGACTTAAAACAATTGACTGGGACATGGCATGGTTTCGCCCCAAAGTAATTGGATGTGAGCGGAAAGTGCATTGGGGCACAGACATAAGAGAGTCGAGTGACTCTGTGAATGAGTGCGGATCGATACGGCCTTGAGGGGGAGGGTGGGGTTGAGCTGAGCTGGGTCTCTGGTTTTGGTCTGGTCAAATGAGGCGTACATTAGGCCTAATGAGTGCCGTGCCAACTTTAGCCAGTGGATGCTTTCAGGGGCACAGCTGCTCTGTTTGTCTGTCGCTCATCATCAAGAGTTTCCATTCGCATTTTCCGACCTTTTATGCGGATCACACACACACCGCCACACACACCCGCTGGCACGCACACAACCCCCTTCCGCCCCCCTCGAAAGACACAAAGTAAAACTGAAAATAAATCAGAAACAGAATGGCGGCCATGCCACACAAATTGATGTTGACATCCAAAACGATGGGACTTTGCCGGGGCTTTTAGGCCAACTTTTTTTTTTGTCTTTTTTTTTATTCGGAGCCGCGGAGCCGCATGCAATTTATAAAATTTTACAGTACATAACCTGCTTGCCACGCCACACCTCCCACACACAACCGAGCTAATGAGTTTTGTCATTGTATTTGTATTTTCGCAACTGACTTTGTGGCAACGTGGGTAGCTGAGAAGGAAGGTGGCAGTGGCAGTGGCGGGAGCACATGACGTATGCGCAATTTCATTTATGGTTCGTTTGCTCGAACTTCCAGTGGCATCTTGTTGTCTTAGCTAGTTTAGTGGCTGCCACAGGAGCAGCGACGACCCGGCGACAAGACGCACAAAACTTTATCCCCGACATCAGAGTGGCAACTCGGTGGCAGGACACTGTTTTATTGGCTACGCTTCGTGTCTTCTAGCCGCCCACTTTCTACACCACTTAGCCATTGCACTTAAGGGTATATTCGATCTAAGATGAAAACTTCAATGAATTATTTTCAAAGAGTTTTGAAAATGTTTGATTTTTATTGCCAAGTGCCAGCTGCCAATTAACATCCTGTTACACAATACTTTAAGATTGAAAACACCGGGTATTCTTCGGTCTGGCCATTCGGCTCGAGTGCTCCCTTCTTAAGCTTCGAGTTTGGAATCTCCGCCTCCTGCGCTTCCTTCGGCTGCTGTTGACTCATGAATAATGCATTCACAATTAAGCCAGTGAGGTCGGGAAAAAGAAACCCCAACTAGGACCCTAACTGGGTAGCAGTTTTCACTTCGCTCCATCCTTGGCTGGGCTTTGCACTTATTATTATGCGCATTGCTGCCTTCCATTCCGATGTTGTTGTTGCCATTTGCGTTGTTTTACTTGCGTACAACCTCGTTGGCTCTAAATTTAGCAACGCAACGCAACACAAACACACCAGCAACAGAACAACCAAGCAACAACGACGGCAATAACCCGCCCCGAAATGGGACTCCTTTTGTTTCAGTTTTCGGTTTTTGCATTTTAAAATATCAAAGTTTAAACACATAAAACAGCGCGCTGGGATCTGGGACCTGCACGGCAAAAAAAGAGGAATATTGTTTGGATTGTCTGGGCTGTAATAGTTCCTAGAGGGATTTATTTAATTCAACAGTATAATATGCAGTTTCGAGATAACATTTCTATAAATATTTGATTTTATCGGATACTCTAATTGAGTTTATATTTTTATTTGTGTGGCCCTATGTCCTGCTATCCTGCTGAGAGCGAGAGACTTGTAGTTGCAATCAATGGCCGGGATGGGGGGCCAAGTGGGAAGCAGGGCCTGGCAGGTCCTTCTGTACCTCCTGCGGCATGTTTGCCAAAATGATTTTACACTCTCGACCATGGTCACTGGCAAGTGGTCTGCTCTGAAGTGGACGAGCACAGTTCAAGGCATAATCTTTCTGCTCGTAAATTGCTTACACCCGTCAGGGACATGTGGCCCCCGAATGTGATATTGCCAGAGCCGGGTTAGCTCTTATGAACGATGTCCGAACTATTTCCGGAGAATGTGTTTACATAATTAATCAGGACATGTTCGATAAGTCGGTACATGTGCATGTGGGATTACCAAGCTAAAATTAGCAGGATGAATTCATCATGAATCTATGCTCAATTATTCACAATTATTCGACCAAACAAATGTGGCTAACTATTCATTCAACCATTATTAAATTGGTTACTTTTTTACGCTCCTGGCTGACTCCTCGCCCAGCATACTTTAATCCTGGCACCTGCCTGACCACCAGCTGTGGTTTGATTTGTGCATTTATCCTTTGGAGAGTCTGACGTTAATTAAGAAAACATCGAGAGGAGCCCGGGTCAGGGCGGATTAATCCTGCCAGCCACTGCATGTGTCTCCATTAGCCCACCGTGAACCGTAACGAATGAAGACAAATGCCGCACTCGACCGCAGGGCAAGCTGCTCGCCTGTCATCACCTCGTCTCGTCCTGCCTGCCTGCGTCCGTCCTCTCCGTCCGCAAGTGCGTCCAACCTCATATGGGCAACCATTAGGTGTCCGGCATAAAGACACATGACCGAGATCAGCTTTCCAGCTTGGGGGCGTAAATGAAATTAGCTAATTGCACCAGCTCGCCGCCAGCCAAGTTGAAAGTTGACAGGACAGACACAGTGTCCACGCATGCAAAAGGATGCAGAGCGAGAAAAAGGTCATTAAATACAAATAATATGGAAATATTATTTAAAGAAATAGGGAATAGGAATAGGGAATTAAATGATTCAGTTTGATGAGCAGAAGCTATTCTTTCAGACAAAAACTGTAGAAACATAACAAAACCTATCCTTTTTTTGTCTGTGTACTTTGAGTGCCAGGGGAGATTGTAAATTACGTATACGCACCGTTCCCAGGACAGACGACGCGGCGCCTCCTCGCCCAGACCCAGGCCCAGACCGAGTCCCAGACTCTGGACCACGTTGTCACCTGCTGGCGGAGGCTGCAGGCTTGACCTCCCAGCCAGGGCGGTTGATTGATGCAGCAATTTGGCCAGCCGTGTGAAGGTCGTACTCGATCCGGAGCCGGATGCCTCTGCTAGCGGTACTTCGTGGAGGGTGGGCTCGCGAGACAGTGGAGTGGATGCCTCGGAGGAGGCAGCGCCTCTCTTCCTCGCTGCCAGTCGATAGGCACGCGCCGCCACCACATGCGGGGCGGGGATCCTGTCAATAGAAATCAATAATATTTATGGAGATTAATAGGGTTCATAAAGGTCGATAGATATTTAGGGACTTTAAAAGGCATATAAGTTATTATGTGAAGAAATATTAAAACAAGAAAATAAGAGTTTTTGTCCATTTTTCGTGATGGGATCCATTGAAAATGGGGTTTTCTCCTATATGGCTCACGTTGATGGCTATATATTCCCCAATACTCATCCGATTCTCAAGCGGAGTACCTTAAACTATTTCTGGATCGATTCTCTACCATTCTGCATAAAAATCTTGAGAAGAAATATTTTTTAGATTTATTGTCCATTTTTCGTTATGGGATCCATTGAAAATGGGGTTTTTCCCTATATGGCCCACACTGATGGCTATATCTTCCCCAATGCGTTCCCCAGCCGTTCGCGTAGAAACAGACAGACAGACGGGCAGACATATATGCTTATTTTAACTCAGGATGTGATCCTGAATGAATTTATATTCTTTTTATAGTTGGAGATGTCTCCTACACTGCGTTGCACACTTTTGACCAAAATTTGAATACTCTCTGCAAACTTTAAAGAACTTACCTTAGTAGTAGGGAACCGTCGGCATGGCATTCAAAGTCGTCGGACAATTGGAACAGTGAGCTGTCCCCCAGGTGCTGCATGTGTTGGAGGTGGGCATGCTGCTGCTGCAAGTGCTGCTGATGGTGGGTGTGGTGGTGGTGGGAGTGCGAGCCCTGGTGGTGGTGCGGAGTGCTGCCCGAGGACTTGCGCCGATAGACCAAATTGCTATCGTCCTTTGGCAGATTCAGCGATTTCACCATCAGCGTGTTATTGTTGTTAGCCAAATGCGAGTTATTGTTGTTGTTGTTGCTGGTGGCATTGTTGCCGCCACTGCTGCCACCGCCGCCGCCGCCGCTGCCGCTGCTGCTGTGGTTAGTGGCACGCGTCAGCAGAGATGACCACCGATGACCGCTGGCGCTGCCGCTGCGGCTCTTGCTGCCCAGCAAGCGCTCGTCTGTGTGGGCGAATGGAAAATTGGCGGAAAAACAAGTTAGACCCCGAAAATGGAAAAAGGAAAAAGGACTTCAGTAACAGTTCATGCGTTAGTTTCTGCGTAAAATGCACTTTCATTATATTAATCATAACTCGTGCTGAAATGCTGTCAAAAGTTTTTAATTACATATTCTGCTGCCACAACATGTTGTGCCCACACACTGCCTCGTGGCGGTAGAATTTGTCAGAAAAAGCAATATCAGTGTTTCCTGATAGGAGGGGCCTTTTCAAAGGATTTATGACTATAAAGGACAAAAAATGGCCTTAAGAGACGTTTGAAGTAATCAATATATGAATTTTGGTTTGGTCTGTGTTTTTGTAGGTAGAACTACTGTAAATGTTTTCCAAGAATGGTTTTATTAATTTTATAGCCTACTTGGCAGAGCAATTGTTGTGTTCTATCCGGTCAATGGAATTATTTGAGGTGGTTATTATTCTGAGAAAAGAATGAGCTTTCCGAAACTTTAACAGATATTTTTTGAAGTTGTGGTAATGGATTCAAGCGAAAAGATTTTTGACCTTTTATCTTATAGCCTTGACCCGATTTTGGGACAAGCCACAATAAATCAATCATATGCACTTTGACCCGAAACAAGCTCGAAATGTTATCTCAATCAAAATGTTTCATTCTCTACGCACCAGTACAGTGGTGGGCATATCATTAGTTTTAAGAAAAGTATTAAATTAAACAAATATAACCCATCAACTGTTGACGATTCAATAAAATGTATAAGAATACGCACCCAATTGAAATGTTTGTTTATCCGTGTGCAGCGAGACTACCGGAAGTCCTGGCACAATAATGGCGGGCAGTGTCCGCGACCGTAACAATGGTGGCGGAAGCTTGCGGCTGCCCGTGCGCGATTGCGACCCGGATCCGCCGCCTGCACCGCCCGCCCCACTAGCAGCGGCTCCACTCTGCTGGGCCCTGGAAAAGAAAGGAAACAGTGATACAGAGAAATGAGAAATTGAGAAGTGAGGAAAGGATTACGTTTGAGGAGGATGGGGTGCGAATGGAGGAAAGAAAGTGACAATAATAAGTTAATGCTATTATTTATTAAGTGCGACGAGTGGGGAGTGGCAAGAAAATGCAATTATTTCCCGTTCCTTTGGCTCAGCTCGGTGCCATTTCCGTTTCATTTGCATGTGCCACCAGGTTGCATGCCCCATTGCCCGACAGAACGACCTTACAGACTCTCCTGACATTATTTAAAGCTGATAATTACTTTTCAATTGGAAGTGACACAATAAAGGCCATCTAACCACACAGTATTTATTTTATTATTTATTTTTTTTTGAATTAAATATCCTCAAAATTAATCAAACCTTTTACAGTTTCAATTATGCAATTGTTGGGGCGACAAAAGCTTTCAATTTAATGCCATAGAATCCTTAATTTGATGCACTGCGTCCGGGGAGAGTGTCACTGTCAGCTGTCGATTTGCGCATTTTTTGCTCCCGCCTGTGAATTACATTTGATTGTTGTGTGGAAATTATTCTCAACACCTCTCAGGCCCGGCACAATGGCCCCCAAACACCCACTCGACAGGACTCACATCCGCTGACTGCGACAGCTGGCGGCCCTCCCCCTCAAGGCCCTCTCAATTTCTGCAGCCTGATGTGTGATTGAATTCCTGGCACTCAAACTGGATGTTCCCAACTCGACGCCTACACCAGATGTGTCCTGGCCCGGGACCTAGAACAGTCCTGTCCTGCCTGATGGCAATTGTGAGCCTGATGGGCTCAACCCCATCCACACACTTGGACTGCACGCAACACATCCGTATGCAAAAAGAACAAAAAATAGGATCACAAAATCACAGAAAAAAATTGAAAACTTTTTATTTGATTTATATCTGACTTTGACATTTTGCCAAGGCGCCCGAATATCTGCCAGAGTCCTAACAAGTCGCTTGCAATATTGATGATGATAGCAAGGCCCTGGCAAACGAACAGAAATCAGCAAAACTTTTTCCCACCCAGAGGCATTTACAAGAGATCCCGGCTTGGGACAACACATTCAATTGCTCCCTGCCAAGGATGCTCAAAAAACAAAATATAAGCACACACTGCACCCGCACTTTAGTCTCGATTTCTCCGCTTTAGAGTCGAACGAACTGCAGCAAAAGTTACAGCAACAGCCAAGGAATCATGTAAGCAATTTATCTGCGTCCTTGCAGGACGAGCAGGGTGCGGCAGGCTGGCGGGGAAGTGGCAACATCAGCGGACGTCTTGGGAAAACATGCGAAATTGTTGAAGAGTCCAAAAAGAGCAACACAGCACAATGCCCACACATAATAAATAAGGAGAAAATTACATAATGCTTCCGCGGAATACTGTGAAGTAAAATTTAAAAGTAAAGCTTTTAAAAGGACCCATGCCGCCGCTTTTGTTCTTTTTTTTTTGTCAGGAGACACACAAGGAGAAATTTTACAGAGGACAATATTCGAAAAGGTTTCCCTAGGATTCTAATCCTTTGATAAAAGAGAGATGACTAATTAAAGGAACTTCAAACATCGAATTTTACGAATTTTAGCTTTAAGTGATTAGAAATTAAAGTCTTCATACCACTTTCCAAGTACTTTAATTTTCGAAAATTATATAAACTAATTTTGTCGTATTTTATTTCTCTCTATGAAACAGCTTTCGGTTTGAGGTCTCCCGCCAGGCACTCTCAAGAGCTTTTGGGGCACAAAGGAGCACACACAATGCCACAGCACCCACTAAAGGCAAGCTGTTACAGGACACAGCAGGAGGGCAAAAGCCAAAGGGTTAGCGGGTGCGGAGAGCTCCGGGTGCGGGATCTGGCACAGCCCACTCACATAACTCAAAGCGGATCTACATAATTGACGTGAAATACTCGTAACCGTAAATCGTACATTACTCAGAAGGTGCCAGAGTAAGGGTGATGTCTCTAAAAAAAGGTTAACATGTTGGCGGAACTGCCGTGAAAAGTGTTTTAAGATGAGGCCTGCATAAAATTTTACACCTCCCCTGATAATGGAGTCATATGCGACGGAAGGGGTTATTTAATGAGCGGCCCGGCAACCGGAAGTGTTGCCATAAAACGAGTTAATGCCAAAGAGATCAAAAGGATATGAAATGCTATACTGCCGGCGTCTGTGTGCCAGTGTCGAGGGCTCGATTACCACTGGACATTCTCGGCTCAGATAATTTGTGATTCATTTACTGCCACAGAACACGATTATATCTTCCCCCATTTGCATAGCCCAATTAGGGATTCCTGTCGGCGCCCAAGGACACTGCTAGCCAGGACAAAACTGGACCTAATGAAGAAGTTTCTGTGGGGGACCGCATCAGCATAAACATCGGTATTTCGGCTTATTTTAACAACGGGGCCTATGAAAAAAGGCCAACTAAGCCGAAAGGCTTTGCCAAATTACGTATACGCAGTGTGTGCGCCCTGTAATCCGGCATGTGTGTGTGTGTGTGTGAGACGTGTAATTGCATTTGGCGCTGTGTTTACATGTGCGTGCATAATTAGAGTGGATGTTGTTCGTGTAATCAAATCATCAGATGCCGCTGCTTCTGCTGCTGCCGCTCCTCTCCCCAGAGGACGCCTTTCAATGGGTTAAAGGATAACTGAACTTGGAGACAAGTGAGTGAACTTTAAACGAGAGAGCCTAGTCGTTGAAAGGACAACCCTTCATCCCCGGAAACGGATGGCTCGTGCCTAATTGAGTTTGAAGCTAGGCATTTTTTCTCGCCAAGTTGCCTCGAGTCCTCGCTTCAGCAAATGTTGAGCATGCGAAAGTATTTTCATTACGATGCTGGTGGAAAGCGTTGAAAAAATGTTTAAAATTTGCTTTGCCATTGCTTAAAAGGATGCGAGCTGAGAAAAAGGATACACCCATGGAGGGTAGCAGTGCAATAAACTGCGATAAAAGACCAGCATTCCGGAGAATCTCTCTAACGAGCTGCTTTCCCGACAAACAAATGAGCAATACCTGGCAGGACGTGCATGGGAATTGAGGCTGCCACCTGGCACGCCCCCTGCCACACGCCCACTTGAAGACTGCAGACTTGAGACCGGTACCAGGGGCCAAGTGCCACGCGCTATTTATCAGAAAGTTTGAGGGTCCTTCGCACGATGCGTCCACACGATGGCTGGCAAATTGAAAATGCAGTGCCAAGACTGGCTAAAATAAATGCAGAAACGAAAGGAGACGAACATTTTTCATTCATTTCCGCAGCGAATGCTGCCATTTTCAAATAGCTACGATTTTTTGAGGCTTCAAAATTGGATGCAATGGCAGAGAGCAGTGGGATTCCTGGGAATTTCAAATGGGACGGATTCAAAGGTTGAGTGCTCTAAAGTGGTTTTTCCCTTAGAAGGTTTATTGAATGCATTTGGCAGGTTTAATGTTATTTTTTTCCTAAAAATGATTAAATTGAACGAGTATTTAATTTAAGTACTAAGTAGTATTTATGTTTTTGTAGACTCTATAGAAAACTATTGAGCTCCTGTTTGAATATTCGTTGTCAAGCAAATCGCTTTTGATTGCCGTCCAATCCAGTTTCAATCCGGCGTTCAAACAGACTGTTAATACTGTTTGCCTTGGGCTGACTGGCAAATCCTGGCAAATCCTAGCTCCCCATCCCATCCATCCTCAAAAATCCCCCAATGTATCATCCGCCCCCCCGTGGCGGTTAAGTAATAGCAAACATTCGACTTACTGACGCTCCTTGCGCTGCTGGCGCTTCTTCTTGAACACTTTCCTGACGCGCAGCAGGAGAAAGGCGGCCCGATCCACCGACAGAGTGGTGCCGCTCTTCTTCGCCGGACCCGCTGCAGTCTCCTCCATGATGATGATGCTCCTCTCCGCTGGTAGTTGCTCCTTTGTCGGCTGCTGTTAGTGGCAGGTTATTTTGCCGCCAACAACTTTTGCTGGCAGCGCTGGCATTTGTATGCTGGCTGCGTAGTCCTTTGGCGAATCCTTTCCGCTGTGCCTGCTGCCTGCTGCCTTCTACGATGACGATGCTGTTCTCGCCTCGAGGATTCGTGTTCTTCCCGTTCTAGTTATACTCGCACTATCACCAAAGACGGAACATGGTTATAGCTATGCGCACACACGCGTAGATTTACATATCCTGGCAGGACCTGCACGTGTTTCCCAGCTGCCTCGTTTGTTTGTCTGACAATTGCGTGCCAAGAAGCAAATACTCGTAATGTGTACTTCTGCTTAGTTGTATAGCCCGGCTATGTCCTGTATACAACATCCTTCCTCCCAACATTACACTCACAAACGCAGACACACTCACACACACGGGGTATATGCATTCATATGATATTGTTTTATTTATGATCTGATGTTATTGCTGCTTAGGTAAGTTGAGAATTTCTTGGCGTTTTACGCATTTCCATAAACGAATCTCCCCCATAAGCCATAAGTGGAACGAGGGATAAACCCAAGGACATTTGTCTTGGCACCTCCTTGCCTTTATTTTATGTCAAATAAAAATTTAAATTCATGTGGCTTCCAGGATGTGGGACTTTAACCGAATGCGACATTGTGGAAAAGGCGAATATCGGGAAAAATGGGAAAATAGTGTCTTTACTTTCGGTCACTTGAGTGGGAGTCCTTTGAGCTGAGCTCGCTGGAGGATTTCATCAGCATTCTCATTGTCAGCTTCATTATCATAATCGTACCTTTTTCCAGATCAATTACGGATTAACTGTCAGGTTTATTGGCGTGCAAAAGGGGAAAGGTAATCCCCGGAATCCTCAAGAATGTAACCAGAATAAAGTTGAATGTCTTGACGGTTCGCCACCACCCACTTTCCCCTACCATACCGTCAAGTTTTCCACCTGCTGTCACAGACTGACTTCTAAGTGAGCTTGAGTGGATTTTGAAAACATTTTCAGCACTCACACACCCTCCGAACCGGCTTGAACGCGCACATCCTCTGTGTGGGACAGTTGCCTTGATAAAGGATAAGAAATTGCTTTGCAACCGAAAACCCGAGTTGAGCCGAGAGTTGAGGGACATGCCACAAAAGCGTCTTAGTGCCGCACGACAGTTAACTTAATATTGACTTATTTGCTTGGCCGCAATCGAAAACTATTTACGAGCTGCGCGATGATAGCAGTGTCCTTGGAGCTGACAATAGCTCCAGTCTCTCCACTGGTAGATCATAATGAAGCCTTATTTGGGTCAGACCCGGACACGGACGAGGATAGTCTGGTCATCTGAAATCCTGATGAGACTGATACGAGTGAAATAATTGCTGCAAACTGCTGCTTGAGCAGAAACCTCTAATCGAATCGATTCGAGTCGAGCAGAAACTGAAACGGAGCCATTACTCGTTTGATGAGGGCAACGAAGCAATTATTTCTTGATTTGATAATCACAGCCGGAAGCTGTCAAGTGCAGATGGATGTCAGACTCCTTTGAGCAGGACTAGAGAGACTAGGAGGAAAATCCAGGAGCTAGCAGGCAACGAGGGAAAAATTAATTAAATCAGCGAATAAATAAAACAGTTTCCATGCTCTTTTGATTAATTAGTTTATAATTCTTTGAGTAGATAATGTTTGAAGATTCTCCTCAATATACGTTGACTGCCTCCTTTTGGCCTTAAACTTTAAACGATTTCATAATTGTATTTAATGCTAAATAATACAATATTATTTGGCATTTTTAGATTCGTTTGTACATTTATTTATTTAAAATCAAAACATATTGAGGTTAGCCAAACTAATAGTCCGTGAATTTCGAATAAATCCTTTGTAGGCGAAATTTAATGAAGCCTTTGATGCTCTTCGCTTAATTATACGTCGTTTTTTCTTTTTGAATTATAATTCATAATCCAATAATGCTCGCTCTATTTGGCCAACAAAGTATTTCCAAACAAACTAAACGGAAAACCAAACTGCCGCCGGGCTATGAATGTTTCAATCTAGTTCTGTGCAACACCAAGAGGTGACAGGTGGATTAATTTCCGAAATATTTTGCATGCCCCGTGCCTCCCGGGCGTTGCTAAATGCATTTGACGCTGGCTTTGGGCCTTGGGTCGAGAGTCCCGCCCGGCATCGAGTTAATTGAATGTCATGCCAGGACCTGCTGCGAATCGGACGAGCCTGTGCCCACGTGGCCTCCGACGTTGCAAGTCATTTCCGGCGTGCCCGTGGCATCGAGCTATGTAGTTGCCTGGCTGGCGCAATTTGACTTTAAAGTCAATCATTTCACGCTTGCTCGGCAGGACGATGAGCGACACATCCTGGACATCCTGGACGGGCGGGCAACCACAACCACACGGCTGGTAGGATGTCACTTGCAACGGTTCCGCTGCTGATTTATTTGCCATTACGCTGCTACGTGACCGGCAGCAGAGTTTCCAGAGAAGGTGCCGAGTCCTGGAGTCTAGCAGTGCTTAGCCGTTTTCAGCAAGGATGCTATAATTAAATAACAATTTGCCAGCTAACATTGAAAGGGCGGAGGATAGCCAATAGCAGCTCGTATCAGGACACCCAAAGGACATTCGCACATGTGCGTGGGTCGGAGCAGGACTAGCGCTGTGGCGAGGGCAGCACGAACAGGAGCATTAAGCGGCGCGTACTGCCACCAAGTGGCAAACATAAAACGAACGCGACCAACTCCCTTTATGGGCCAACATTGCCAACAGGACCTTTCGCCTTTGCACTTTTGCTTTGCATATTTTTCTTTTTTTATACAATCCGAGCTCAAATGCAAACATGTTTAAAAATAAAATATAAACTTGGGTACAAAATAAGCTAATAATAAAAATTTAATTAAAATTATTAAACAGAGTACTATAAGTTTAAAACTTTGTTTCTGATAGTCAACTTAAGCGTCTCTAAATGGCTTTAGTTAGCCAAAACTTTAAGCCTTATTGTCTTGACCCTGACTGTTTCAGCCAAATTTGTTTTCCATTTAGCGTCCAGCTGGTCCAGACATCTCTCCCGGGAGGGCGAGGCAGGGCGGCGGAAATGAGTGCAAATTTATGCAGAAAGTAATTAAAAGTACCGTTGTCCGGCTACACTTCCTGCGCCTGATCCTGCCTGCCCCTTGACGAGCCAGTACGAGGGGCGTGGCAGGCATTGTAAAGGAGCTTTGAGATGTTTTTAACGATTTGTTTGCGCTCATAAAAGTAAAATTTAATGAAGTTGCAGCATAAAAGGCGCATAAGCACGAGCCAAGTGGCTCACTGACCTTTGTCCTTTGTGTCGAATCGCCCTTTGCCCTCCTCTTACCCCTCTATACCTTGGCCAGAGGCCTAAGTGGTTCCGTTGAGTGTTTGTCTCTGTCTTAATTACTCGGCTTTCGTCTCATTGTCCGCCGGCCAGGAAGGCAAACACCCAAACACCTTAAGCTAACGAGCTTCTCGGCTTTAGCTCCTACCTGCCACACCTGGTGGAGCAGGATCCGGCCCTTTGCCTCCTCCCTGTGGGGCAGTCAAAGGCGCAATCAATTTCCTTTCAACGCCCCACACAACAGCAGCCGCAGGACCTCAACCTGCTGGGGCTCGCCCACCTAATTTAAAGGACTAATTGTCAACAAGCGGCTGTGGCGGGTCTAACCCACATATATATTTATCGGTGAGTATGGATTCTAACTAATTGGGGCTCGGAATAAGCACATTTGGGGCTTAGATGAGGAATTAGGCTTGTAATCTAACAGATTAGGGCTTTAATTTTTTATAAAAAGATATTACCATAAAGATGTAAAGTCCCTAAGAAAAACAATGACATTTGTTGTCATCAGGCAAGTTCTTTTTACCGAAGCTATGCACATTTTAATCATAATTACCTAAAGTATCAATCGAAACTTCTGGGATTACTTGAACTTTTCAAAATTTCTACTTGAAGCCGCCTTGGGAATTATTTTGATGGCAAGTAAAGATCAAAAGTTAAAGCTTAAAGAATATTCTGCTCTGTAAGCTGATATTTGGAAAAATCTCATCAATGACTCATCCATCCATCACGTAATTTTCTGTTCATTTTCCTCAAACCTCAGAGCTCAGGACTGCTCGAATTTCGAGAAGCCTTTGGCCTCGAAAGCAGACAGACTGACATGGAATATGAGTGGCTTCATCGGCAGGACCTCTGTCTGGGGCTTTATCTGAGGCAAACACCATCGATACACCTAGCCAGAAGTGGCCTGCGAAGCTCATTGTTTTTCGTAGAGAGGCCCCCGGCTGAGTGACATACATCTTAGACAATTCCGGTCCCTGCTGACCTGCCAGGATGCTACGGGATGCCACTTTTGGTTGTTTGTCTGCCATTGTCTGGCCGTATCAAGTCAGTTGCCACTCAGCGTACGGCCTTATCGCCTCATCTCGCCACGGGCCGCTATATTAGCTCCTGAGTACAATTTTGCAGCGCCAAGTGTCGGGCTAACAAAAGCCGTTAAGACAAAGCACACGCCAGAAACGAGCTCGACAGGGCGAGCGTAAGTAATGCTAAAATGCGACATGTTAACAAGGCGGCGACGCCTTAAGAGGATTGCGATTGCCGAGGGACTTTAATTTTCCGAGGGGGTGTGATGGTAGCCTGCCTCAGGTTCCCTGTATTTATAAACTTTACATCCAATGAAACTAACCAGAAAAATAGACCTGGCGGGGAGTCGTGGCCGGGAGGCAGACATCTGGGCGTATGAGCGTTATTTTCATTCAAGTGTGTGTGTGTGTGTGCTGGCCAGAATGCTTGTGTTAGTGCCTTTCGTCTGACTTGGCCAGCATTTATGGTTCAAGTTGGCAAGTTTTGTTTTCTTTAGCTTTACTCATTCCACTTGATGTTTTTGTTTAGGGGAAATTGTAGGCCGCCCATTGACTGGCGCACAAACACCAAGCCGAGCCAGTAGTTTTATAGCTTTCGGGCACAGGACAGAAGACGGAGGACAGAGGACAGAGGACACAGGACAATCGACAGGACAAACAGCTCTCATTCAGAGAGCGGGGATAGAAAAGCGAGCAAAGGTTGCACAGATTTCATGCCTCGTTGCATGCAGCTGGCGAAAAACAAACAAAACAACATAGAAGCCAAATAGCGGACATTGCACAGTGAAAACTGG